TCCTTACCCCCATCATCTTATTATAGAAGTCTGAACAAATTTATTTTTTCCTGGTGCTATTATTCTCATGGCAAAATGTATTTTTCACTGACTTACCCTTTTTATAAAATGGTAAAAATGAACTGTGCTACCTGCAGAATTGTGCTTTCCTTCCATCCTTAACCAGGTATAATTAATTTGCTACATTGCTTTTGGTGTAAGGAACCCGACATCAGGTAGTTCTGAGGGCTGGATGTTCAGTGCATAAGTACAAAGGTCCCATCTACCCCCCCTTCCCACACACTCACACACACTCGCACCTCGTTCAATCAATCTAACTCGTTGTATTTATAAATATAAAAACTTTATGGTTCTTCCTGGGGAAATATTTTGGCTCTTGATGACCCATTTAGAGCTCTGTATTTGCTTGTGGTGTAAAACAAGAAAATGTAGAGGCTGTCAAAATTAAACAAATATTTGTGTAGGCTGTTTAGATTACCCTTACATAGATTTTTTTTTTTTTTTTTTTTAGTGCTAGGCATCCTGAAAGTTTCAGCTAAAAACAGATGAAAACTCTATAGCCCCAAAGTGAAAAAAATGCCCTAAATTATAGTACCACCCTAACACTGCAATTAAGCATCCTATAAACATTTAGCCGGAAAACCCCTCTTAAAGTAGCCACTGCTCCAAGCTCATTCCCGTGATAGGCTACAATCTCAATACAACTTAGTAAACTAAACATGAGACTGTAGTCTATCATTGGAGCAAGCTTGGAGTGGTGGCTACTTTACAACACACACCGGGACCATGGGGAACAAAAGTAGCCATCCTCCAGATGGAAGGACAATGTCAGCACCAATTCAGAGATGATTTGAGGATCTACAGCCGAGTGATACACAAATAAGATACAATTTTATTAATAATTAGGGTACTTGAATGCATTTTTAAGATGTAATTCTGGAGTTTAGTGTCACTTTAAGTAAATGTAATCCCCTACCCAATGACATGCCCTTTGATAGAGCACCATGTATCATAAATGACACATCACCAGCAGCAGAATCACCCAAGAGAGGGTTATACTTACCTTTGTGGGATCTCTCCCTCGCTGGCCCGGTACACTGCCGATTCTCGTAGCGGAGGAGCAATTAGGAAGCAAACTCTGACTGGTTCAGCTAACGAGGCAGTGACTCAATTAAAACTTATATCTGGTAAGTTAGCAATGCTGTCACTGGTGAGTTGTCAACACCAGCATTAAACGTGACCATTAAAACATATATCTGGTAAGTTAGCAATCCTGTCACTGGTGAGTTGTCACCACCAGGACGATAGTGCATGTTACATGGCCTTGGAATTTTTATCAGGGCCCTTATACCCCTTAAAAGTGCATGTGATATTAAAAAGCTACATGTTCTTGATTTAGGCATATCTATCTATCTATCTATCTATCTATCTATCTATCTATCTATCTATCTATCTATCTATCTATCTATCTAATACAATAGTAATTTTTGCCTTATGAAAGTGATTTTCCCTTATGTGTGGCAGCTTCCCTGTTTTATAAGAATATAACCTGCCCAGGTTAAGCAAATATTAAATCTGTCAAATCATGGTGTGATTTTGCTGAGTGCCTAAAAAGCACCTGTAACATCTGCACCTAGCTAAATTACACTATTTCAGACCATGGTAAAACAGTAAAGACCTCAAGTATTTTTTTTTTTTTTTTTAAAAATTGTAAATCAGCACTAAAAAATGA